TTTGTAAGACATGTGAGAGCGATGTGGATGAGAGAAAATGAGGAAGAGAAAATGTAAGGCCTTCAAAGGCCAAACGGGAGATGTTAGGTTTATATGGTCTTTAAAGGCCTTATGAGTGTGTATTGAAATACTTTCATTATAGTGAAACATAGAGTGTAGTCCCTCGAGAACCATACTAAGCAAATGATGTTTGCTTATACCAAACTTTGCTTATTGATCTAAACCAGACGGTTGGAAAACCCAAGGTACCTGGGCATAAAAAATTAACCGAGGAGGGTTTTGGGTTAACCCTTGATAAGGTCGAGGCTTATGCCTAGATGAGAGAGCCGAGGAACTGTATGACCCTTGCGTGTTATGGTAGGCCTATTGAGACGGGGGCCAAAACCTCATACATATTTATTCAAGTTTCATCACACGGTATGCATATCGATTGATCGTCCAAGAAAGCAAGATATCTACTTTTGGGGAAGCGTATGCATGTGCGAGAGATACCCCTATGTACCAAAGAGCTGTGGTTGCATTAGGTCGTGGTGACCTTGACTCGTCTCTAGGGGACGATATGTAATCTACAGACTGGGATTGTGACCCTTTGATTTATCGACCTGACTTTGGTGGCCCGCTAATAAGCCCCTGCTTGGATAAAGCTAGTGTGGTCTGTAGTCCACAGTTGGAGGTGGAGTACCCCATATTTACAGATTAAATTTCTAAAACCATATGAATCATTTTTCCCATCATATTGATTTAATTGTGTTCATTTTATTATTAAAATGAATTTAGTTTTATTATTTGAATTTTTATGAATCTCTCAATATTTTATTTGTAATATTTGGTTTTATAAAAATACAGTTATTGATTTTACAAAGTTATAAAAAATTCAAATATATATTAATTAGTTTTAATTTAATTTTCATGTTTTTTATAAAATTTCATGGGGCCCCAAAGTTTACAAAGGCCCACAGTGTGGCATGTGGGTGGGGGCCCACCCTCTTTGGATTCTCTTGTTTGCTTTATGTTCAAGTTTTTAAGTTAAAGTGAGTTTGATTTGTAGCATGTGGTCAAATCTTGGAAGGAAAATATTGACCATGGCTTTATTTGTTTTATAGAAAGTTTGTTTTAAAGAGATATGGTCAATTTGAATAGATAATAAATATTGGCCTCATCTTATTTATATTTGGTAGTATTTATTTACTTGATAATATTTGACATATCCTTATGGAATATGTGACATGGATCATGCAATTTTATGGAATACATGATATTTATTTTATTTAAATATATTGATTGAAAAATGGTTTAAGGAAAGGGAGATAATAGTTCAAGCACTTTCCATAATGTTGATGGCCCATCTATGGAATGGATGGCTCAGATCTCTCACCCCACAAGTCATCTTGATCAATGGTTTAGATTCAATCTCATGAAAGAGGCAAACTATGGGAAAACTTTAAGAACTAAACCTAAATATACATTATAAATAGGGGTGCTCTTTCCAATCTCTACACACACAAAACCTCTCTTCTCTCTCTCTACTAGAGGGGCATGCCCCACTCTCTCTCCTCCATCTTTCTCTCTCTATTTTTTTATCACCAAATTTTAGGTAGTACTCTCTCTCCTCTCTAGACCTAAGTTAATTTTGGGGGTTAAAGTTTTAGTAGAAATTTTAAAGGGTAGTTACCTAGTTTGGCCGAAATCAGCTATCCCGGTTCGAGATTGAACCTAGACCACAGATTTCGCGCCATTGAATGTGGTGACTCTGTGTGGGGTGTAAAAAGCTCGGTTGAGGTAATCTCTGACATCTTTTCTTTTAATTGTCAGTTCTTTTATTTTATATTCTCAAACATACTATTAGGTTGTATGAATGACATCAAGTAGTTGAGATTTATTTGATGTGTTATTTATTTTTGGAATTTCTATTGTTTGTAATAAGGCCATCTGTGAGTAATCTTGTTGCCAAAATTACAAGGGGTGATTATTATTTAAAAAAAAAAAATTATTTCTCCAACAAAAGATCACATAGGACTTTCTTTCACCTTCTACTGTTAAGGTGATTAATGTAAGGAAAGTAGGTGTCAAGGAAATGTATGCAGATACTGAAATCAACCTTAGTAGCTACCTTCAACCTCTAGATTGATGAGATTGCGGGTTTGGTGTTCAATAACATAGATAGAAAATGAGGGAATATTTGCAATAAAAAAAAATTCCTCCAAAACTAGACTCTTTTCATGTGAAAATCAGAAGAAGATACTTAGCGGGCTTTCAAGTAAAGATTCTGGACGTTTAAGGGCTCAATTTTGTTGTTGGAGAAGTCATCTCCTAAATCCAGCCACTCTTATTTACACCCTCAATAATCTATGCTAGCATTTTGTGGTCCTATTTGTTGGGAATTAAGAACCGTCTTGTACTTGAAAACATGAATCGCGAATATTGAATCATACCTAGATCGTTTACTTAGCTGGTTAGAAACAAAATCAGCAAGAGCACGGACTTTAAAATCGGGATGAGAACTAATAGATAAGAACGCATACACCACAAAAATACAAAAATGGAAGTGGATACGTCTACTAGTAAGCAGGCAAACATATTCATTAAACAATACAGTGTGTGTTTGGTTTAAGGGGAGAGAGACTAAAAAAACACAAAAAAACAAGAAGCAAAAAACAAAAAACAAAAAACAAAAAACAAAAAACAAAAAACAAAAGAGAAAAAAAGAAGAAACCATAAAGGCATATGATCTGATTGGAATGGTAAGCTGGTGATTGTGTTGTCACGATGGAGATTTGGAGATTTTGAGGCTGGTGACACCAAAATCAACACCCCATAGAATGTTCTTTTCTAAAGGAAGATTGACTTGAATAAAGAAGGATGTACATGATTATACTAGTTGTAGAGACTTGATTGAAATTATTTTTTATTTTATGGGATGTAAATTCTAATATTTTATAGTTATATTATATATGTTTTATGTCGGATTGTATACTATAAGACCGTTTACCTTTGCTACAAGAAGGTCACAAATACCTTAAGCCATCTGATTTCAAATTAGATAACGTACTTTGTGTAACAAAGTTCGAGAACATCCGATTTGAAATCTGAAGGATAAGAGTGATTATGACCTCCTTATGTAAAAATTAAGGGATTGTATACAATAAGACCATTTACATGTGGTACAAAAAGGTCACTATTACTTATAATCATCTGATGTGAATATAATAGCTTGGGTGTGTCAAAAAGTTCGATAAAATTCCTTTTGAACTTTGAGCTTGATCAATAGAATAATTGTAACCACCCAATTTCACATTCAATGGTCAAGATTAATTGTGACCACTTTGTATCAAAGGCAAATGGTCTCATTGTATACTTTTCCAAAAAAATAAAGGATGCGGTTTGCATAGAGTTGAGGCTCTAAACAATCAAAGCAAAGTGCACCTTCAAATATTGTTGAGAAATGTGGTTTCAATATTGAAACTTTTTGTGATAGCCTTAAAATATATTTTTATTTTTTAATTATAAAATTTAAAACTTCAAAAATAGTATAGATTAAGCAAATCTATGAAAACTTGAAACTCTTGAATATTGACGGTCCAAAAATGCATTACAATATGCACTATTTTCAAAACTTAAAATCTATTTTTTTCTCATGTCCATGCATCTTGATGTCGAGATGATCAATTTGAGGATATTTGGGCATCAAAATAGACTCTTCTAGTGAAATTTTTGAGGTGAGTTTTAATTTAATTTTTTAGAGCCTTGGCTCTATATAAACTTTTTCCTGAAAGAATTGTTATGCAATATAATAAAGGATTGTATACAATGAGACCATTTACATTTGACATAAGGAGGTCACAATTACTTACAACCATTTGATGAAATTGATAGCTTGAGTGTGTCACAAATTAAAAAAAAAATTTATTTTGAAGTTTGAGCTTGGCTAATGAAATAAATTAAGCCATCTAATTTCATATCAATGATCAAGATTAACTGTGACTACTATGTACTAAAGATAAATGGTATTATTATATACTTTTCCATATAATAAAAGCGCGTCTAAATTTATTATGGGACGGGGTTTCTAAGACACTGCCCACTCTACGACACATCTAAAGTTCATTTTAAAGATGGATTTTAGATCCAAATTTGTAAGAGAGATGTGATCTAGGCCATGGTGATTTTGACTATGAAAAAGAAATAAAATAAAAAAAATTATGAATATTTTGGAACCATCTAGTTGGGTGCCCTTTTGTTTACATCCATCTTTAAAGTGGACGTTTGATGTTCAGGTTACTCATGTGTCGCTTGTCTCCCAAAATTCTTTCCCTTTATTATACAAAGTAGGGCAAGACCACGCAAACTTATATGGACGATTTTGTAAGCACGTTTTTTATTATTTTTCAACGCTACTCTTTATTGAAGTTTTATTTTTTAAAAAAGTATACAAAAAAATTATTTATTTTTTATACAAGGGGGTCACAATATTTCGTATTCGTTACAAGATGACTTGAAAATCATTTTCAACACTAAAATTTCCAACTAAAACAATGTTACAGATCTTTATGAACCTTTATTTTTAGGGCGAAATAAACGGTTTAGATAATTTGCTACAATATATACTATTTTTAGAGCTTGAAATTTTATTTTTTTCTCCTACATAATGTCCAAGTCGAGATGATCGATATATAGGTTTTCTAATTCTTGAATTGTAATTTTGGATGAATTATGAAGCGAGGTTTTACTAACTTTGATAGGGCTGCAACCCTATCAAACCATTTTCCAAACCAAACAGTGTATTCATTAAATATGGTAACAATGCACATAACATATTGCTAGGAAGACCCACCTTCATTTCAACCTCCTAACAACTCTTTTCTCCTAATCCCAAAGCTAACACACTACACATCTTTAAACCACTTCACTTTCGAATTCACCCAACCACTCCATCCAATTCTTTTCCTTTTTAAGCTCCTCTCCCTCCATGCAAAATCCAACCCCCTCTTTTCCCTTCAAAATCAAAACCAACCCAAGATTTGGTCTCTAGCTCCCCTACTTGTACCAGCACAATAACTTAACCAACAACATGATGAAGAACTTAGCTAACTTCTTGTTCTTGGTCATCACCATAGCCGACATAGCCGGGAGCCTCGCCGTAGATCCCGCCCCTCCGGCCGACAAGGGCGAACCTGACCTAGAATTCCACATGCATGACATACTGGGAGGTAGTAACCCTACCGCTAGACCAGTTACAGGATTACTGGGAAACATCTATAGTGGCCAAGTGCCATTTGCTAGGCCAATCGGGTTCAATATTCCTAGAGGTGGGGTCGCCATCCCAAATGCCGATGGTACGATCCCAACCTTTAATGGAAACAATGGGATCCCTCTAGGCACGGGATTGTCTGGCACATCGTTTGCAGGATCCGCAACTCCTAAGAGTCAGACACAACTCAGTCCCGATGGTCTGGGATTAGGGTTCGGGACGATTACAGTAATCGATGATATATTGACTGCAGGCCCGGATCTAGGGGCCCAGCCGATAGGCCGGGCCCAAGGGGTGTATGTTGCCAGCTCAGCAGATGGTAGCACACAGATGATGGCATTTACAGCAATGTTGGAGGGGGGAGAGTATGGTGATAGTATGAACTTCTTTGGAGTATATAATGTGGGGTCCACCTCATGCCGTCTATCGGTGACCGGAGGAACGGGGAAATTCAAGAATGCTTCAGGTTTCGCCGAGGTTCGGTCGCTCTTTCCTTCCGGCCAGCATGTGACCGATGGTGTCGAGACGTTGCTCAAGATATCTGTGCATCTCATTTACTAGGGAGTATGATGAGAGTGGTTTTTTACCTAAGTATGGACTATATAAAGTATGTGTGGGGCCGAGGTCTGGTTTGTTGTTAAGCATAGGGGTTGAGAAAATCTAGGAATTTCTCAAATATGAGTGAGAACATAATTGGGTTGACTTGTTTTGTGATTCTTCTATGGTATGGATTTGCTCTTAAATATTGGACTTTCTTAAATGATTCTATGCTCCAACAGGAGCAAATTGTCCATTTGTTCCCTCAAGGAAACCCAAACCTAGGGTAGTTTTAGGACCCCAAATTTTGGGATGTATCATCTCCAACCTAATCACCAACTCAAAAGAAAAGAAAAAAGAGAAGGAAAAAAAAAAATCAAATGCACTTTCGGTGGGCGTGAAAAACATTTGGCTCCAAAATTAGATATAGACAGTCCAATTATTGGATAGCAAGATCTAATGTCGTTATTTGAAAATAATGATCCGGTGACGAATAAAAGGATCCTAAATTCAGAACAATAAACTCTTATAAATAGTTGTGTTAACAAAGGAAGCAAGTGAACAGTGTGCTCGCGTACCAGTATAGTACACGCGCTGGACTTTTGGAAAGAACGGTGTTGTGGCATGATATTTTGATGGAGATGCGGATGGGGTCTCTATGAGTCAGCTGACTCATATGTACACGTGCAGGCCCCCTCTAAAATTGACTTTAAAATTGGATTTTTGATCTAAAATTTTAGGGATTTATTATCTAAGCCAAGCTCATCATAAAAATAAAAAAAAATAAAATTAAATACGTTTTTTTAAAGATGTTTTTGGCACTGTCCATATTTAATTTGACATGCATTTTACACAACGTCCATCTTAAAGATTGATGTTGAAGAGTCAGCGGGCTCTTGCACCTCGAACACTTTTCCTGTGGTCGCAAGTTCGACGCCTAAAAGCAATCAAGATGAAGTCCAATGCTACAAACTTTATTCTCTCTTTTTTACACATATAAAACAGCCCTCTTAGAATTGTTTTTACAATCGAAAAGTATGTTTTCTATAAATACTAGTGTAAAATTCCATAAAGAGAATTAAATCAAAACACCCACTTTTATTTCTAAGAAAAACCAATTTATGTTATCAATATAAATAATAATAATAACAATAATAATAATAATAACAAAGCAAATCAAGCAAAACCACTAATTTGAAAATCTCAATTCATAGAATAAGGCAAGATAGGAAACCAATTTGATACATATTAATAAAGTCTACCATATTTAAAAATTGCAATATATGTTTTTCCAAACTTGAAATGGCATGCATGCGTGTGATAAATCTTGCATGTGAACAACATGAATTGATTATCAATATGGGCTGAAATTCAGGATCGTTGTGAGGATTTGTTGGTGTCTTTTCAGCATATGTATCGAGACGCAAATTCTATTGCGGATGGTCTCGCAAAATATGGTGCGAGTTCGGAAGTGCTCTTGGTTTCTGAGGATTTTGATGTATATTTAAGTATCTTGTATCCTGCTATCTTTTTAATAAAATAAAGTAAGTTTGTAAAAATAGAAAAATAAAAAAAAATAAGAACTTATGAAAAACAAAGGTACTTATCATATGGAAGCCTACATACCATTAATAACTCTTCGGCATCATGATACATATCTCTACTCATCATAGGCAACCCTCCATACCACTGACTTGGTTTCTCCAAATGGTCTGTGCCTTACACTCTACAAAAGGAAAATGGACAAAAAGGTAAGAAATTCAACCTAGTTTTGCTTGAAGAATGCCCTAAGTCCATGAAAGCATGTAAAGGAGTGCGACTTTTCTAGTTGGGTCGATAACAGGTTGAAAAGTCTGTCTTGGTGGCATCTTTGGGTTGGGCATTGTTGGATTCTCTTTAGTTTTTGGACATGGTTTCTTTGAGTCCATGTAGAAATGTGTCCCCTCTTAAAAAATCAATTTTTGAGATGGATTTTTTAACCCAATTTCTATGGACATATATTCTCTAACCTAGAGATTTTGAATATGAATAAATAAATAAATTTAAATTTAAAAATTAAAATTTTAAAAATTATATTTTATGAAGAAAACTTTTGGACTATAAATTTCAACTATTTTTAGATGAACCACATATATGCATCTATCTTTAACATGGATGCTTTATACCTCGGGGGAAGAAAATGTAGAAATGCATTACCAGACACATGGAAAAAATTTCCTTACTTTTTTTTCTTGATACTTTTTGTAGTAGTGGTGCTGGTTTTTCTAGTTGGTCCTTGTGGAGATTTATTAATTTTTGGAAATTCAAATCTCTTATATACAGTCAAATTCTGAGCATGGAAAAGGTCGGCCTCACAGCTTTCCTTCTATGATACACCTATCGCTTCAACTAGCGATTTATGATAGGACCTGGTTTTTATGTGGCCAAGCCTGCATATTTAGAAATGTGGGCCTATTAATACATCTATTTTTTAGATGGAGTTTTGGACTTAATTTTTAAGGACATGTAATATCCAACATGGAGATCATTAATATGAAAAATAAGTATATTTTAAAATTAAAATAATAATTCTAATAAAAAACATTTGGATCGTTAGTTTCCATTGTTTTTAGATGGAACACCTACTTGCGTCCATCTTTAAAATGGATGCCTAACACGTTTTGGACCGCATATGTAGTCACGAGGTCCAACTCACATAAAACAATTTTCCTTTACCATAACTAAAAGTTTGAAAAGAGAAGTTTCAAAATAAATTTCAAAGATATTAAAAGCTTCGAAAAATAACACAAACAAAGAGAAGTAGATTTAAAGTGGCCTATGTGGTCAAGTTAGGCCACGAGCCTAACACCTGGAGTTGGGGACTGGGTCAGACTGAGGCGGTAGATGTGACCTTTCCCCTCTAGTTTGTGAAGATGTCTTGAGGCCGAAACACTCAGAGTAGAGTTTGAGTTTTGTTTGAATTGAGGATTAATTTGAGACTGTAGAGGTGGGGATTGAGGCTAAGGATTGTCTATGGTTATATAATGTTTTCACCTTAATCGGATGGAAAAGAGATTTAGGGTACTTAGGGCCTGAATTGATTAGGTTAGGGTTCCTTGTCTCGTAGGTTGTCTTAAGGCTTTATGGGAGTCGAGGTTTATGCCTAGAGCTAGGATTTCGAGGTTAGGATAGGGCACCTGTGGATATAAAGGTGAGGTAGAGAAAAGATACGTAAAATCCCTAATAGTCCCTAAATGAGGGTTTTTACAGTTTAGGGATTACAAGAGACCTAACCCCTTTAAGAGGAAGGTTTTGATATTTGAGAGGGAGGTTTCAATTTTTAAGAGGGAGGTTTTGGTGTTTAAGGAGGAGGTTTGGGCTTTTAAGAAGGGGGGCTTGGTTAGCGAGGTTTTGGCTTTTAAGAAGGGGGGCTTGGTTAGCCGTATATATATATATATATATTAATATGTTTTTTATTATTGAATGGTTCAAAATAAGGGTTTGGGTTAATTGGTTTACTTGATAGTGATTAGGAGGTTGTGGTGTAGGGATGTCTCCTAATCGAGGTTTGAATGGTTTTATAAGTGGTTTCTCCTAATTATGAAAGTTTTATAAGTGGTTTCTCCTAATTAAGCAAGTTTTATCGTAGTTTATCCTAATTTAGTGAGTCTTCCTAATGGATTAGATGATTAGTTAGTTTTTAGGTTAGAAAGATGGTTAAGTAATTAGAGTTTCTCTAATGATAGGGCTTCCATGGCATTTACAGGATGTTGCTTAGGATGTCAAGAGGATGGGATTAGGTGCAATGTTGACTACTAGCCTAGTATGGTCTTTATCATGGTTCCAATAGGATTAAGGTATTTAGGATTGCCAAGATATTAGGTTTAAGGAAGGCTTCTAGGTTTAGGTCATATGGTTTAAGGGTTGAAGCACCTAGAGATCCCCTCAGCCAAAGTGGGGTGTTCACAAAAGATCAATCCCAAAATATGTATATTTACAGCAAGAGCCAGTTAAGTATAAGACTTGGCATTGAAATAGAGAAAAACAAATTAGAGATGCCTTCATATTTTGGGTTCCAAATGCTGAATTGTGCGCCTGTCAGCTCGACCCTCTATCATCAACATCGTACAATTCAAACAATTGACCGTTATGGTCAATTCCATCAATGTTAAAGGAAAATTTGTACACTTTGTATGTGGTGCACTTTGTATGCTACTTGTATTATAGCGTATGATTACTAGCGCTACATGTACGATGGCATATGATTCCTTTTATGACTTGCCCACAGTTTCAAAATTCTATGATTCCTTTTATGACTTGCCCACAGTTTCAAAATTCACTGATCCGGATTGGGAGACACTAATCTGAATGGGAATTAGTGGGGACGAACCCGGTTCTTGTCAAAACTAGGAATAATTTAATTACCATAGACTCCCTAAGTCCCATTAAAGAATCAGGGGAGTATGTCAGGGAACCGGGAGATCCAGATTGTCTGAATTGCCTAGTTTCTGCCCATTTTATTCGTTACTTTTTTTTATTTTTTATTTTCAAAATAAAAACATTATTTAACTTTTTTGGTGATATTTCCCACATTGGATAATCAGTCCAGTATGGCATTTTTGAATTACCTGTTCGTTGATCCAGACTAGATTTTCCAAAGGCCAGCTGATCCACTAATCGAAACATAGGATTTGCCCATTTAACTACTAGTCCATTGAAAATGGGAAAGGTTCATTTTGTCGAACTCATGACTCCACCGGGGTGGTTCAGGGGTTTAAGATCTAAAATATATCGTAAGTCACTTAGAATGCATCTCAGCTTTATACCAAGGAAAAATTACGTCCTCGCTGTTTTAATCTCCCGGTTTAAAGATTTAGTACATAAATGTGTTATTCATCGCCATATTTTTTTTATTTTTTTTTTCAATTTTATCTCGGTCCCATATTTTAAACATCAGACTGAAAATATTAAATATTGTCAAAATTTTTTGAAGTTTGGGACTGGTCAATTGGCTGAGGGGCATTTTGGAGACGATCAAATATTGGACAACCCTAAAAGTTAGGGTACTCGTACCCTTTTAGGTCGGTGGAATGTTTGACACATCAAATTACCCTAAACCTTGC